TATAAATACCGTGGTAATTAAACCTAATCGCTTGACAAATATTAGGTTGAGGAATAACCTCGAAAAACTATCTTCCGCGTGTATGCGAAAGATGTCTTCTGTTTCTATTTCATAGTGACTTATCTCGCCGGAGCGACTTTAATAGTCAGAAATGACATAAAAATTGCATTAGAAATTGATGGTCTCCCATTATAGGAGTTTTCATACCTACATTGTGGTCCACACAGTTCTAACTATGGATGTAGGCTCTCGTAAACTCAACTATTCTCTTGATATTTTTGTGAAGCTAACGGAAAAAAAAGAGAGCTAACAGAGAGGTCATCCATTTTCTCTTCTCTCTTTCTTTTTTATACATTTTTGCAACCAACTTCTCCCTTTCTCTCTCTCTCTCTTACTTATCATACGACACTTCTCTTCCTCCTTTCATTCTGCTACGGATAGTTACAGGCTGCTACTATATTGCGCTAAGAAGCTAGTGGCATTGTTTTGACATACAACTATTTCTTGCCGTTTATATATAGATACGAAATGCACATTGAGGAAGTAAAAGTTACGAAAAAGTGTAAATGTCAAGAAAATGTGCAATTGTACTACACTTCTTCCATTGCCTCACATTTGTAGAACATGAACAACAATAAAATCTGCAGGATCATGATTCATTACTCAATAACTCATTGTATTCCTAATCACGTTTCATTTCTCGTATCACCAAATGGCAGTTGTACATAAACATATGCAGCATAGTAGTAAAGCTATACTCCTGTAGATTTTTTCTATTTAATTTCCGCTGTCTTTATAGTCGGATCCATGTGCGGGGACCATACATCATAAGTCCTCGTTTCGTACTTTGTTTTGAACTGTCGGATATCATATTTCGAACCGTGATAGGAAATTACATTGGATATGATAATGCGAGCACCCTTCCTGACGAACGCGAAGATATATCGCAAACTATCTTGGAGATCTTCCTTTACTTATCCTCAAAGGGCTGAGAGTTGAGTCCACTTCCGACTTTCGTGGAAGTTTCTGAATAGAGCCATTTCGGGCGACTCAACGGAGAACCACCCATCGAGAAAGGGCGACATCTCGGTTTGAATCTGCTTTTCCGGCCGATCAAAGGTAGCAAAGATCATGATTAATTTCCCCAACCCTGCATGTCGAACTTACGCCCAAAGTTGTCCATATCGCTATCAGCAATTACACTCGCAGACCGTGATGGCCTCTCTAAGAAAGATCGTAATGATCATCAAGGAGTTTGTCCCAACCCTGACCGGTATCCTTGGAGGCAACAAAATTAATTACACCAAAAGGTATTAACAACTCTTAACTTAACTCATTTTTCTGTTTCTTGTTGGTCTCAAGATAAGTGTAAGCTGTCTGCAAACCAAGTTCATATAATTAATAATTCCCTTTCCTCCCCGATGATCTGTATTATTATCCGATACCCTCGCAAAGTAACAGTTGATAGTGTTTGATAAACTCAGGGCCCAATGTTGATCCGAAGCTGTATATCATAACCGCTAGAAGCAAAACTTGCTTAAATTAAGATACTTGTTTCGAGTAAGTGTTGCTCCTTCATCCGGACTCAAGAGATCCCAGAACTTTGAAAACTTCAAAACCGATGATTTCGAAGGTACTTTGAAGGGCAACCGCCGAAGTTATTGGCAATTTTGAGGGAGCTAAACTAGTACCGATTGGAAAAATCTTTCGGCTTTGGTACGTCGAATCCTTCACTTCAACTCTGTGCCATCATGCGTTCAGAAGCCTTTTGCAATCCCCTTTGTAATCTACGTAGTACTTGTAACAAAAGGCTACGAACTTAGTTAAGAGGGAACGGAAGCTTAGAGGAAGTTCTGAATTTCTGACACTTCCGAGTGAAGCAGGCGTGACTTCTCTTTGGATTTGGGACAGATTCATCGCTTTACGTGCCAAAGTGGAGAACAGTTCGGACTACTTAAGGTGACATGAAAGAGTCAGCCTATATATATTTGAGAAATCATATTGTTGGGGAAAGTGTTCTCCGAATTGGGGGTACCTATTCGATTCAAATTTTAATGTTTATTAATTAAAAATGTCGACAACAACCGTCTCAAAGTAATTGTTTTGGAAATCAAGGGCGGTATTGAAAATGGTACAAAAGGAGCCAGAAACAATCATGATATTTGCAGGACACTTGTTACTGCAATAAATATTTTCACCTCAAATATATCTAACCGGCCTTGTAATGAATTACGAGAGAGCTTAATGAAAGGGAAGAAGATATAGAAATGAGGCCAGCATCGATCATCATCATTTAGTTCCGTGGTCGTTAGTGAATTGGGTCAACCGCAGTCGTAATTTCCACTTTCCAATCAACAGCGCAATCCGATTCGTCAGATAATTTTCATTCATATTCGAAAAGTACGGAAATTTTTGAAACCACTTTATGGATTCTTTTCGCGTAATCTATTGAAATTAATTTATCATTTCTATTCGAAGCTATGGGTTTCTACATCATGATAATTCTGAATTATATTTAGAGGTACATTACAAGAGCTTTTTAATTAAAAACCTTCCAGTTTCTTGGCGTGAAAAACACGGTGAGAAACAATTGTGTCGTAAAAACAAATATAACGGAAACCAACGTGCCGTCCGTCGATAGAGTTGAAATTGTCCACCGTTTGGAAGTAGGAACATTTGCGGGGTATCCAATCACTTGATTGGCTGGAATGGAGTTACCCTGCATGCTCCAAATAGCCCCATAAATGTAGTTCAATCCATATTAAATTAGGCTGTGTCCAATTCAGAGTAAATGTAACGTGGAATAGACTACGTAGTCACTTATACCTTCAATTCAATCTGCTTCATAGAAGCTTCATTGCCGCAAACAATGTTTATACCAATTTAATCCTGCTCAGCTTGACTTATTTTGACAAAATGTACGAATAAAAGGAGCGAAAATTGGTAGCTGCAACAATGGCATACTTATATTCTATATAGACTTAATGTACTATGAAATTATACAATATTATTCACAGCAGTTAACTGTAGAAGGCCGGTCGTTTAACTTGAGACATCAATAACAAAAAACTATTTCCACTGAAAGTTACTTCCCTTTTCTCATACAATACGATGCTGCAATAAAAGAAGTAGGACATCCATTTAAAAAACTGAAGTTGACCCTGAGATACCCATGAAATTGAACTTTAAATAAATAATGGATATTACTGTTATACTTCCAACTGGAAATTAAGACAGTTTTATTCGACACTTTTTTCTCTAAAATAAATAGTTCATCGAATACGATGGTGTCTCAAGTTAAACTCCCTGCCCTTAAAATTAACGACGATTGTTAGAGTTATAATAACTGCTAAATCGTTTAAAGAACATTCTCTTTCGCGTATGTGAAGTACCCTAATCAAAAGGATTGGTATAAGGGTTCTGGAATACGTAATTTTCAATTACGGTATGTGGTATACAGGCACGATGGAGAAAGGGAATCGAAGAAAAGATCTTGGAAGTCATGAATATGCGATAGAAATCCCTTTACATTATGCCGCAGAGCAGCCGGATTGAACCTACAAAAGTTCGCACCGGCACAAGTCGGCGTTCTATTCCGTTTTGAGGGTCCTGAATCGTCGTGAGAACACGTACCTCGCATTGTCGTTTCTATATTCCGTAATTAAAATGAGATCAAGAGTGATAGTCCTTTACCGAGAAAAACCAAATGTAGAATTATCCAGGATTGGTCAACCAATTAGGCACACATACATCTATTTCTATTTCTTCTATCTGTTCTGAAACTTCATTACAAAAAGGTGTACAACATTCCATGATAGGTTAATTAACCCTTATTTCAATTGCTTTCAATGTAAATTTCTCATGTTTCTCGAACATATATTAAAAAACGCCCCCGAAAGATTTTTCTTCAGCGTCATTTCGATGTTTTTACGCAATAAAATATTTGTCTCAATTGGCATATTTCAAAAATATTTGTCACAGAATCCATCACTACACTTCTTCAATGACCAGTTACGCGGGCTGGCGATATGATTACATAAAAAATGTAATAGTGTAACACTTATCAATCACTGTTCTGGGATAAATCGATCCATTAAAGGATATTTCGCAGATAGATGTTAAATAATAACGCATCTGCAAAACCGAGATGTCACTCGCAGAAAGTAATAAGAAAATGGAATGGACTAATGGAAATGGCACTCCTACTAATGGATGAATACGCTTAAAATCGTTGTCCCCGTGAGGCCCTGCAAAATCGCTGGTGTGGTGAGTGCCCTTAAAATGAAGTGAAACCCCTCTCAAATCAGTCGATTCGAATACAACACTTTTTTTTTAAGGGTATTGGATAGAACTGTCCGAAACTTTGATACATGACTCGTGAGCACCTAAGATTTATCCTCATAGTTTCAAAATTTGGATTTTTTTTTTCATTTTTTAACAGCCCAGACCAGAACAAAAATGGTGTCGAGCTCTCAAATTTCGATTGATATCCAATTATTGAAGGCTATAATATGAAAAACGAAAATGTCAGGACAATTGTACGACAATTTAGGACACTCTGATAATCGAGAAATTCGCATTTAAATGGAGTAAAGGCAAAAAAGTGTCTTCTGCGCTTCTAAACTAAAACAATGGTAATACGAGGTCTCGGAGTAAACATATAGTTGTCACGAAAATCACAGATGGCGCGGGGGTCCCTCTGCTATCAATTTGGGCCTCAGAAATCATAAATCCAGGGGATTTCTGGAGTTTTACTTAGATTTCTTCATAATTATAGCTCGAGAACGACTGATGGAGTATGCCATTTAGTAAAACACTCAATATAATTCGACACGCCTGTCAATATAAAAATGAACGTTGGCAACGTAGGTATTTAGGAAAACCTCTTTTACCGACGTCGATCAAATTCCTTTGTGTGTTTCATCTCACCTTAATAGTCTGGCAGATTCGACGACCTTAATGGGACCTTATGGGAAGCAATGCCGCGATTTACGACCTACCTTAGAGAGTGTCGTTGGGTGAGGGTAAAGATTGACGAGGCAGCTCTCACGTCTGAGACGATAGTCCCAGCGAGTCTCCAAATGCGGTATCTCCATGGTATCGCAGATGCTCTGGACGTGAGACGCCGTGTGCGCGCTCTGCGGCCCGAAGATCGCCGCGACGCCGCTGCTCAGTAGATGGCAAACTGCAAGCAAATTTCACAATTTTATCGTTAGTTACTTTGCTGAAGATATTCCAAGCAAATCCACGCAGAGCATCGTCCATGCTCTGCGACATGGCGCGTCTGTATGTGGGAAAAAAAGGTTCATTCAGCAAAATCATTTAACCGTATTTGGTTCGTTTCATCAAACGTTTTGGTTGGACGAACCTCCACATGACCAGGATGTCCACCAACGAGGGACTATTCACTCGGGTATCAGTGGAAACGATTCTCTTCTTTGAGAGACGATTGCTTTTGATTTAATGTGATAGACAACAATGCGATTTGGTAACATGTGACGTTAAATTCGGCTCTAAATTTGTGCCAGTTTTATTTAAATTTATTTCTTTAACGTCGCATCAACTGCGCTGTTATTAACTACCAGAATGTCCAACAACGAGGGACTATTCACTCGGATATCAGTGGAAACGATTCTCTTCTTTGAGAGACGATTGCTTTTGATTTAATGTGATAGACAACAATGCGACTAAATTTGTGCCAGTTTTATTTAAATTTATTTCTTTAACGTCGCATTAACTGCGCTGTCATTAACTACCAGGATGTCCATCAACGAGGGACTATTCACTCGGATATCACTGAAAACGATTCTCTTCTTTGAGAGACGATTGCTTTTGGTTTAATGTGATAGACAACAAAGCGATTTGGTAACATGTGACGTTGAATTCGGCTCTAAATTTGTGCGTTATTATTTTTTTTTATTTATTTCTTTAACATCGCATCAACTGCTCTGGTCATTAACGACGCACCGTGGAGTTAAATAGGTTGTATATTACGGTGATCAACTTTTACAATTCATGTAGGAGGTTAATGCCTTTTAAGAAGTTTAGTGTTACGAAAGTATAACGTAAAGTATGTGAAAGTATATTAATTACTGCTCTGGGATAAATCGATCCATTAAAGGACTTTTCGCAAATAGATGTCAAATAGTAGCGCATCTGCAAAACTGAGATGTCACGGGCAGAAAGTAATAAGAAAATGTGTAAATAAGTTTTGTTTGAAAATTACTGCAAGAAACTCTGCGGCCACACGGGGCGAACGGGGTGACCAATTTGTTAATTGAGAATATTGCATTGTTGGAGAAATTGAGAAAATTAAACTGAACAATTTGGAGGAGTGCATTGGATATTCGGTACGTCGCAATAAACGATGAGTCCATGAATTCTATTGGTTATTGATAAAATACCTCTGTAACTTCATTACCGTCAAGAGTACAGCGCATTAACTGTTGAACAATTATATTTCCGGGGTCCACGATTCATTGTATCGTGGACGGAAACATTCTTTGAGTTTCTCAAATCCAGGGAACCACCTTTGAAGGGGATCTCCTCTGTTCTGGAATCCGATGATCTCATGGCCGTGTCTCCGCATAAATTTACCCCGTACCGTATCCAGTTGCCGTAAGCCGTACATGCGAATGTTTAACGTAGACCCTGTGTTACGTAGAGGAAAAAGTGTGCGTAATGGAATCCTCGGATAATCCCAAAGGAGCTGACGCAGGATGTCTCTTCATAATGTAGAAAATTCGGGTAGAGTGGATGGTTCGCATGCAGGTTTCCGATCATTTTCTTCATTACGGCAATTAAATCAGTCCCTTTAAAGGAGACACTTAACTTTTTGTCTACTAAAAGCGTCCAATGTTGCCTGCACGCACTGATGAATGTCATCTATATGTCGAAAGAGTTAATCTACACCCGTCCCTCAATTTACGCGGAGTATCCATTACACGTGGCTTCGTTTTACACCAATGAAAATCGCGTTGCGCAAAGTCGGTTAGTACAATAGAAAAAATATTGTAAATACAAACCGCGCAAATTGTGTTATAATTTACCATGTAAAAAGAGACTCGCGTTAGTTGAGGGAGGAGTATTGTACGTTATGTATTGGTAGAACTTAGAGGTAATAAAATTAATTTGTTCAACTAATCGATTTCTCGGAAAACATAATTCATTCTATAGGCGGCTTATTAAATCTCCAGACAAATTATTAATTCATGGATGCGTGCAAAGTAGTTTGTGGTTAGGAAAAAAAATCGATTCAGTTTCATCGCTTTTATCGTTTTCGTACAAATTCGGATTATGTTTTCTACGAACTCTATATGAGAAACTAAATGAAATTAAAATATTGTATTAAAGACAATAGTGTTATGTTTTAGAAGGAATATTGTTGCCAGAACCGGGTAACCAGAATATAGTTGCACTGTTGAAAATGTTTCGATATTTTACAAAAACCAGAAACAATGACAGTTAAAATGAAAACCAGATAAATGTATGCATTTCGAAGAACTCCGTTTTTATCTTAGAATTCCTGCAGAAGTATTCACAATTTTGATCAAACGAGTAAGATGAAAAAAGACACCGGTAGAAATTTTTATATATATGCCACAACGTGATGAATTCAAAACGTGATGCCACAACATGATGTATATAAAATTTCACAAATTTCCAATATGATGTTACAGAACAAAAAATGTATGTTCAAGTTTATCATAAATGTATTATAATTCGCTTTTGAGACATGCAAATTAGAATTGCACCACAATCTTTAGGACCAAAAGTGTATTAAATTTATGGATATTTTTAACAGTGTAGGTTAAAGATTCACAGGCTGCAATCTTTGCTCTTACAAATTGAAAACCCGTTTGCTGATCCTGCTACGTGGCTATTGAAGGATCATAAGATTTAGTCAGAGGCGCACCCATCAGTACATATTGGATATAAAGCCGACGTGCCGCACGGTTCGACGATTACTTCTGAAATCTTTAATATACCGAAGTGGTCCGCTGGTCCTGGCGTCTTTATGGGTATCAGATTTTACAGAGGATTTATCTGAAACTTGTGTTCGAGAGACCAGCCAAGAAGATACCCGCTACATGTTGGAAACTGACTTTGCCATCAAATGCAGCGCCGGATAATCCTAATCCTTCTTTAACACTAACCCTGCCGACAATCTATAACCCTATTACCAATTCCATTTAAAAGCATTTGAGCGGCTGGTGGGAAGTTTAGTGTTAATTTACAAAATTGAGAGCATTAAATTGAGTTCATTAATTGTAGAGTTCTACATCAGAGCGTGGAAACTTAATTACTACTTGCCAACTTCTGAGTGCACTTTTTCATCACGTTCATATTAAATGTAGTTAGGAATTATTGCTCCACGATTATATGCATTTCATTCTTTATTTACCCTTTCCCATGCCACTGCCCACGAAGCACAATATATATCCTAGTTACATAATACTGAAATAACGTAATATGTAACGAGAGTCATGCAAAAGGTACGTCGATTTCAAGAGACGCCGTAGCGTCTTGGACGAGATCGTTGGCGTAAATCCATAATTTATGGTCGAATTTTTTAATGTTTACTTCAAACGTGGGTACAGCAAATCCAATAATTTTTGATCCATCATACAGGGCATACATGTACATCCGCCTCACTATGTAACTCCATAAGTCGAAGGACTTCTCGACGACTTCGGAACGACACTTCGGCAACTGCCGTTGAGGATTAACCGCACCTCGTGTGTAAAGAAGACAATACCGACAGGTACATACGAAACCTAACCTGTACGTCGGGTACAAACTCGTACCAAGAGCCTTAATAAATATTCGATGGAGTTCCCGTTTGCGTGTCGAGAGGGGGAGACGTTGGAGGGCATCTCCGAGGAAATCGGCTCCTGTAATTCGGCGCATCGTACCCTGGTGTGAAACGTCCAAAACAACGGTCTGATTGCTTGATCGTGCATAGTTCTAATTATTCACTAACAATGCATTCATTGTTTGCTACTTATGATTAACTGATTCGCGGCAGACTCTGTAACTACACATGAACGGATGAAGTTGCATTCACGACACTTGGAGCTGAAACTTGACGTCTAGGTAGCAACTATTAAACCAAAGTACCGTAATTCTGCAACATTTTTCTTGACATGTATATTCAAACTAGGTTTAAAATGTATATTCAAATAAACTTTATCATAAATGTAATACGTTCAGCATGTAGGAGTGAAATTAACACATACGTAACTACACATGAACGAATGAAGTTGCATTCATGAGACTTGGAGCTGAAACTTGACGTCTAGGTAGCAACTCTGAAAATACCCTATTAAACCAAAGCACCCTTAATTCTGCAACATTTTTCTTGACATATATATTCAAACTAGGGTTAAAATGTATATTCAAATAAACTTTATCATAAATGTAATACGTTGAACGAATACGAAATGTAATACGTGTACGAATTAGTTGTGCACTTAACCGAGGAAAGGTAGATATATAAATATAGATATAGTCAAGAAATAAGTAGACACTTGTAGATCAATAGCGGATATATAATTTTAATCTACAATAAACATAGATATTTATATATATATCCTTTAGATATTTTTTAGGTGGATGATAGTCGATATACATTTGCTATACCTATAGACCTAATTTACAGGATTAATTTACGTATATTCCACTTCATGGGTAGCTTGGGTCACTTTCCCTATCTGGAAGTGAGAAGGAGGGTTCGGTTACCGCCGTTAGCGAACTCCTTCATCGAGGATTTACGACGCAAGTAACTCTCTCTAGAGACACCCTCTCCCAGTTTTGTCAGGAGCGTAAAACGCTTATATATCACCGTCGGCGGCTTCCGTTTTGGCATTGGACCTTATGTACGGGCTTTATACGATCCTCCCAGTCGAACGATGTCAAAGGATGTTACTTCTTCACATAAGTCCGTCGACTGTTCTTTCCCTTTACTTTGGAAGAAGGAGCCCCGAAACTTGACGAGGCGATAAATGATTGGCTGCAGCGCAACGAATTATTTCGCCGCTTTTTCTAGACGGCGGAATCGAGTTTTCACGACCGTTCCTGGTGTAGCTTTAACAAGCGCAAAGATCGCGTATTCGAAAAATGGAAGAAGAATCGACCTTCGCGGCGATAATTTCAACTGTGGATCTGCCCGAATCCAAATTTTGA